GAGGGCACGTGCACACAGCACAGGGGGGAGGAGGGCACGTGCACACAGCACAGAGGGAGGAGGGCACGTGCACACAGCACAGGGGAGGGGGAGGAGGGCACGTGCACACAGCACGGGGGGAGGGGGAGGAGGGCACATGCACACAGCACAGAGGGAAGAGGGCATGTGCACACAGCTCAGGTGGGAGGCAGAGGCACGCAGGGTGTCCACAAGTCTGAGCATGATGGAGTAGATGACGCCCTCAGGTGGTGCAAGCCCTTGGCCTCCCACAGCCCAATCATGGCCAGAAGGGGCAGCGGGCAGCCTAGGAAACATTTATGTTTGCACAAGTCTGTTCACAGGTTAGGATGGCTAACGACTGGGCTGGTGAGTTGTGGACACAATGTCTGGAGGTGAATTGGGCAGATACATGAGGCACTAGGTGCCAGGTCTCAGCCCGAGGCAGCATCACCACGTGACCCCCAGTGCCCTGAGCCTCTCACAGCTCAGGAGTACCTGTGTGCACAGGGAGTCATTTGACAGAAGAGAGGACTATTCAGGGTGACTGAGACACTTGTCTAAGGTCTCACGCCTCTTGGTGGCAGTGCTGTGGGCCACATGTGTAACCCTGCTGAGGGCTCACACGTGCTGCTGCCTCACAGATGTCCACGCACTTCCTCTACTTCTCTGAGCAGGAAGGACTGCGTCCAGTAGACTGACTTCCTGACAGCAAAGTCTATGGAGACCATCCCCATAGCTCTTAAGGGTCAGTTTTTTAACACTAAACTCAAGAAAAGCCAATCTTCTTTTTTGCGTTTGAGGTTTCCAAACTACAGGTAAGGGAACAAGGAGCTTAAACACTTTCTTGAGGTCCCTTACTCCCCAGCTCTGAGGCAGCTGCAGAAGCTGCACGGGTCTCAGATGGCCATGGTGTCTGACTTTGGGATACCACTGCTTCCCTCCATAGTGGGCTGGGCACATGGAAGGGTGGAGAAGTGGTCCAGGGATGTCATGGCCCTTTGTTCTGGCAGATCCAGGACAGACCTAGGAGTATGTGAGAACACCCCCGTGCCAAGGAGGGGCTCCACTCACTCACTGCAGGCCCCCTCCCAGGCTCGCCTGAAGTCAGGCTGGGCTCAAACTAGGCTTCCACTCACCCAGCATGGCTCTCCCACGACGACTCCCCCACGGCCACACTCCCACGATGACTCCCACACAACCACACTCCCATAACACCACCCCCATGGCCACACACCCACAATGACATCTCCACGGCTGCACACACTATGATGACACCCCCATGGCCACACTCCCACGATGGTTCCCCCACGGCCGCACACCCAAAGCAAGGTGTCTGCTTCCTGCTCCCACCTGCTGCTGTGCCTACCTTTTCTGTGTGGTTGCTACTACAGTGGTTTTTGTGGGTGGTAACACCTGGGGAGCTTTAGACTTCTTCCAAGAGAAAGGCTCTCGGACCCCAATCAGTGCCTCTTCTCCACTGACCACATTCACTTCCAGGTAGCGGCCAATAAGGAAGTCCGAAAAGCAAAGCAGGAGGAGCTCCTTACAGCGGCCAGAATTTCTTAGGGGAAAAAATAAATTCAGTCTTAGGAGGGTCCCTAGGAGTTGCAGGTGACTTGACAGCACAGAACAAGTTGTAAGTAAAGTTAACTGATTCAGGGTAATTTTTCTTATGTCCACGTTAGAAAAGGCACAACACTAACACCAGTTACCATTACATTTTTTTTTCTGTGGAAAAAAGAAATACAAGGACTTTCTAGGAAAAAAACCAAACAGACATGTAAACTGTCATCCATAATTCTCAAGTTTAAGGATCAAAAGATTTTCTGCATTTCCAAGCTGATTTGCACTTCACTCTGCTCAACTTGCATGAATTCAGCTAATACTGACTGTATTCATCTCTTTTCATGTTGTCACAGACCCAGGACCCCAAAGCTGGTCTCCCAGTTAGATCTTAACGCACCTGCACAGGGAGCAGAATGTTCTGGAGGGGCTTCAGCAGAGCAACTGGTGCATTTGAACCACTGACTTTTCAACAGGCAAACACATCCTTTAACCACTGCCCCAGCAGGGCCCCTCCACTGTCACAGTCTCTGTGATGTGACTCTCAATGGCTGTGGGGCGCTCAATGAAAGGAAAGGCAGCAGCAGTTGCGGGGGGGTCACCTACAGTTTGATGTTGATGGGTTTGAAGGCGGTGATTTAGTCAGACTTGTATTTTGTTAACACATTGCTGCACACTTTTAAATTGAGACCGTGCGGCAATGTGTTAAAAAGACCATTAGCCAATTTCATCAGATGACCAATACCGGCCCAGGGAAGCACTCTGCTGCCAGTTGTGGCCTTTGGGCCAGGGCACTGTACATAGGCAAGGAGGGTGGGCTGCCAGACAAGTGAACTCAGTAGAGGACACAGGGCACAACCCTGCATAGGCCCTGCACTCCACCATCCCACGGCGCGGAGGCTGCTATTCAGCCCAAACTCGGGACAGGGTGTCTCTCCTGTCACCGGGGAGTGTGAACACAAGGGAAGGGGTGAGGAGGAGCAGTGAGAAAGCCTAGTTCAGGAGGGAAGGGCACCGGAGTGAGCCAGCTCCACTGTCACGTTCTTGGCAGAGGACAGTGGGGGGGGTGTCACATGCAGGGGTGATAGGTTACAAGGCAGAGGAGATGCTGGGTCACCTGAAGGAACAGTGAGGAGCTAGAAGACACTCAGGTCTCAGCTCAGTACTCTAAGATCAACGCTTTGTCTTAATCTGTCACACCAAAACAGGAATGAACAGTTTAACAACAAACCTAGAAGGATCATAGACGAAACTTAAGAGACAAGCCTGTGACACCCCACAAGTAACTACCCCCACGGCCAGGTGCTCACTTTGCATGACATGTGATGCCCACGAAGGTCTTCCCACCGGCAGGGATGGGCATGCTGGGCCCTGGAGGCAGCTTCAGTGACAGGCTGGCCTCTTCTTCCTCGCCACCTCCTTTACAGACGTCACACGGTGAAATAAAATTAGATCCAAAACTAGACCCTGAAATAAGGCTTCCTAAGAGTGGAGATGAGCACATAGAATCCCACGCCTGGCACTGGCCACACCAGCAGCTGAGAGCAGTAAAGGCTGCCAGCTACGGTGCAGCCTGTGATGAGAGGGTCAGTTCCTGGGGGCAGGGCACTGCCTCCAAGAGCACACAGTCAGGAGGTGTGCATGCCCGCACACGTTCTCTGAGGAGTGCCCATGAGGCTGCTCTGCGCACCTGGGCCTCCTCCACCTGAACATGACTGGAACGGGTCGGCATCAGGGGGCTGACCTGGTGCAGAGTGTAGAGTAGGGATGCCTAGCCCTTGTGCCTCTCCACCCCCATGAAGGCTGCATGACCTTCACACGTGACTGAGATCCCAGACCTCTGAGGAGGTCCACCTGGAGCTCCGAGTGGCAAAGCTGGCTAAGCTGCGTGCAGGCACCAAGGTTCTCCCACCTGAAGCACCATCGTGGTTCATCCACAGGCTGCCTGCTGGCGTCGAGCAGGGCTGGCTGCTCTGGGGGCCGTTCATCAGGCCCTGGCTTCCATCTGCAGAACTCTTCTTCCCCGAAATAGAAACCACAGCTTCCAGGCCCCTCGGGTCCTTTCTAGGTACATGAAACTGGAACTGCTTGCTTTTATCCCAGCCGGCCAATTTGCAGCTGACCAAAGTCCGAGGAAGGTCTCCTTTGTTCCTGGAGAGAAACAGGATGCAAAAGCGGACAGTACTTCTAATGTCAAAGTGCTCCATGACCAAAAAGCAGCATTCAAGTCAGCTAGTGAGAGCAACTGAAAACAGCTGATAAAGAGAAGAAACAGGGTGCTGCTGAGTTAAACACCTTGAAGATTTCACAAACAGAAAAACAAACAGGCAAAATCAGCTCTACAGAAATCCTTGTGGTTTAAGATATTAACACAATGGACTGTAAACTAGCTCCAAGTGGACCACTTACTTGATCCAAACCACTGTGTTTTTACTTTCCCCTTCTTTCAGAGTTCCGAAGTTCATCAGCCCTGTCACTTCCACGTCCCCCTTGTTCTGCAGGAGCAGGTCTCCAAAGACGTGGTCCGCACTCTCACTGTGTGGGGAAGGGTCTCTAGAGAGAGCAAAGACACGTGTCATGGCTGAGAGTGGGCAGCACCAGAGATGTCCAGGATCACCCAGGACCAGATGCAGCATTTTAGAATGCTTAAGACCTGGGGGAAAGGACAGCATGTCACCTTAAAGAAGTAAGTGCCGGATCTAAAGGAAACCCTGTGGGGCCACAGAAACACCAACAGAGTGGACCTGTTTCCACAGATGGCATGCTTTCAGAAATGGTCTTGGAGATACCACATGCCGCCTCTGTGAGATTTTCCATCTCCTGGTACCTCTTCACAGGACACCAGGGAGGGAAGGAAACTACAGAGGGGCAGGGAGGCCATTGGGGAGGAAAGGAGATCACAGAGCGGAGGAGACAGAACATGGGGGAGGGAGGAAGACCACAGGGGTGATGAGCAAGGTCACACAGGAGAGAGAGAGGCCACAGGGGAGGGAAGGAGGGAGGGAGAGAGGACTTGGGGAGGGAGGGAGGCCACAGGGGAAGGAAAGGAGTCCTGGGGGAGGAAAGGAGACCACAGAGAAGTATTAGAAAACCACAGCGATACAAATCAAAACCACAATGAGATACCATCTCACTCCAGTAGCAGTAGCAAAGTTTAAGAGGACAGCAAGTAATAAATGTTGGCGAGGATGTGGTGAGAAAGGAACTCTTATACATTGTTGGTGGGATTGTAAAATGGTACAACCTTCTGGAAGGCAGTTTAGCGCTTCCTCAAAAAAGCTGAACATAGAAATTCCGTATGACCCAGCATTCCACTGCTTGGAACATATTCCAAGAAAATGAGAACTGAGGCTCAAAAGGATACTTGTACACCAATGTTCATAGGGTAAGAACATGGAAACAGCCCAGATGTCCAAACACAACCAAATGGATTGAGAAGTTGTCCATTCTTACAACGGGATACTATGTAGCAAGCAGGAGCAATCATTTTGTAAATTACTATCTAATTTAGGAGGGACTGGAGACATACTGAGTGAACTTACTCAGTGCCATAAGGACAAATACTATGTAAAACCATTATTACAGAATGAGTATGAGGATCCAAAGGGGGGTGGAAATAGAGGGGTGAGGATGGGGGGTAAAATGTTAATCATAGGGTTGCACAATTCGATGGGTGGGTGGGGTAAAGGAAATGGGAAGGATCTTTTGTGAAAAACAAAATGCTCAAACTTTGTAAATAGAGTAATATAAAAAAAAATTTAAAATAAAAGAAGAAACCCACAGGAAAATAGGGTAGGGAAGGTGGTCTCTAAGAAGCACATGAAAACCTCCGACTTCCCTGCCCTCAGGAAGGACAGCACTTGCCCCTCTATTCCAGTATTTCCCTCAACAGCACTGTGGAGGGGATGGTCTTACCCACTCCTCACCACCACAATCTCCCCAGAATGCCGTTTGATGGGACACCACCTCTGTTAGTAAAGGGCACAGAAGTGAGTCTTCTGACTCCAGCCCTGTGGCACACTTGGGAGGTACTCCCAGCCACACCAAGATCCTGGCCTTATCCCGACACGTTCAAACACCTCCTGTCCTATACCTGTGCCTGCTATGGACCCTTCTTCCTGTCATTAAAAGGTTCCAGACCCTGCAGCACCCGGGCCAGTGGCTGCGGACAAGCCAGCAGGCTCTGGGGCTGGGGTGTGGGTAGAGAAGGCTGACAGAAGGGAGGGCATCGTGAACAGCCCCGCAGTTTCTGGTTTAGCTCCTCTAAAAGCAAGAGCAGCTAAGGGGAGGGGAGGATCTCAGGCTTGGTGACATGAGTTGTGCAGAGGAACCAAATCTGAGCATTTGTAGGGGAGGCTGGGGGGCAGCTGCCCCGAGCAGTGAGTGCTGGGCATGCAATCAGTTACTTTTTAGGAGAGAATTAACTAACTGCCTCAGGTGATGGGTTTCTGAGTCTGGGACCCAAACGCCTTCCTCTACCACCCCCACAAACCTACTGTGACTAGGAGACTGTGGAGGAATTGGGACTAGCTTAGAGTCTGAGGCCAAGGAGGGGCCTGCCTGTGGGTTAACTGTTTCCTCGTAGGGGCTCTGGGGCTGTCCTGGGGACACTGGCAAGGTGGCTGGACCAGGAGATGGACACGAACAACCCAAGTGATCAGTGAAGTCGACGGGTAAGCAGACTTGTGCTCTAAAGAGCAATGGACGAGGCCAGGGTGTCCAGATCTGCAGTTAAGTCACTCCTGCAAGCATGCCACGCTCCAGAGGGCCAGCACATTGTCGCCGAGGGTCAGTGGAGCTCCTGGCCGTAGCCATCAGGGAGCAGTTCTCCAGTGCTGTGGTGCAAGAAAGAACAGCCACAGGCACGCTGCAGTGCGAGGCTGCCTTCACGGGCTGTGGCCGCCAGCTTCCCTTCCGCCCCACTCAGCCCTGAAGTGTGCTGCAGCCTGTGCCCCCTGCTCAGAGCTGCTCTGTCAGCGACCCTCAGGCCACACCCCACAGGGCACAGCTCACCAGAGACTCACAGCACTGCACATGGGGATCCCCATGTCCACACACCATGCTCAGCGGAGACATGTCAGGCCGGAAGTAGTGTCAGACAGGAGAAGAACCTCTCCACTGCAGACTGTGTGTCCCAGAGCAGAAAGGTTTGATAACGTGTGCAATCAGTGGGAACACCAAGAAGAAAGTGGGCCAGGCTACCAGGCTGGTGGTAGGTTGGTGATGAGCAGGGCATCATACGGAGCAGAGAAGTGCCACACACACTGCAGGCCTGGGGCCATTCAGGCACCGACACAAGACATGCAATCATCTTAATAGACTGTGTTCAATCTATTCAAGAAAATACAAAAATAGAAAGGACGGAAGAATGCAAATCACCACTGTAAGGCCCATGAAAAAGGATAAAGAAAGAACCTCTGCCTCTATTAACTGGAAGGGACAGCTATTTGTTTCCATTCCCAAAAAAGATGGTTCAACATAGAATGTGGAAATTATTGAACAATATTAACAGCACATGCAAGTAAAATCTGGTTGAAAATTATTACAAATGGTTGGAACAAGTACATCAAGTGGGAATTGCCAGAAATTTAAGCTAGATTCAGAAGGGGCTGTGGCACAAGGGATAGCACCGCCTATGTCAGAGTGGATCTCAATTGAAAGCAGAGGACACCAGAAAGATGATGCCTTGACTTTTACTGACTATGCAGACATTTGCCTGCGTAGATCATAGCAAATCATGGTTAACACTGAGAAAAAATGGAACTCCCTGAACACTTAATAGTGTTCATATGAAACCAATACATAGTCCAACAAGCTTGTGTCCACATAGAACAAGAGAATACTGTATGGTTTAAAATCAGAAAGTGTATGTTAGGGCTGTATCCTTTTCCTCTACATATTCAATCTGTGTCTTCTGAGAAACTGTACTCTGAATTAGAATGCGGCATCAAGTGGAGAAGACTCATCAACATAAAGGACACAATCTTGTCTGCAGAAAATGAAGAGGACTTGAAACACTTGCTGCAGAAGATCCCTGACTACAGCCTCCAATATGGGTAACAGCTCAACATCCAGAAAACAACAATCACCACTGAACCAGAAGAAGAAAAGACTAAAATGGTAAATTTCATTTATTAGGATACACAATCAACACCCATGGTAACAGTAATAAAAAAATCAAAATGCAAATTGCACTGGGAAAATTTTATGCCAAAGACTTCTCTAAAATGCTAAAGAGCAATGATATTTTCAATTACTTCCTATTTATTTGAATGCTGGACACTGAACAAAGATGACAGAAGAAGAATCAATGCCTTTGAATTGTCGTGTTAGAAAAGAATAGTGAATACCCTATAGACTCTCAAAAGACTAAATAAATCTGTCTTGAGGGAGCTGCAACCAGGGTGCTCCCTAGAGACAAGGGTGGTGAAATCACCTCACATACTTTGGGCATGCTGTCAAGAGGGTCCAGTCCTTGGAGAAGGACATTGTGCTAGGAAAGATGGAAAGTCAGAGAGAGGAAGATGGAATGACAGAGTGACTTTCACAATAAGCTTTAGCACAGCATACGCTGAGATAAGGTTCAGATCTCTTGTTCACAGGGTCCTTGTAAGCTGTACTCAATGGCATCTAACCATCACCATCACCACCACCACCACCGCCACCACCATTCTCCTCCTTCCCCCTCCAGCAATCACAGAACACCTCCTTGCAGATCCTCTTGTCAGCTCAGGACCAACACAATCAAGGCAACAACTCGGTTCCTAGGAGCAACTCTCAAGACCCTCAGAAGGCCCCTCCCTCTCCCAGAAGCCATGGCTTGAAGTCCCTTCTGACAGGGTCACCTCCACAGGCCGACCCTCTCGGCCAGCCCTTACTTCCCAACAAGGAAAGGAAGTGTCATACCGCCTTCTTACGGGCGTCATGCACAGTGCCCTCCACATGTAGCAGGACTGGCTGCTCTCCACCACCACTGTGTTGACGATGTCGTATCTGTGAGGCATATACCCATCTGGAAGCTTCAATGACTCCATGGTGAAAAAGATGCTGTCGTCAATCACTCCATTTTGTCCAAAGAGGCTGGAAATACAGACCTGGGGCACAGTCATGATGGTGATAAGGATGCCACCCTGTCCCTGACCATCACAAGCCTAGTCTAGCTGGCAGGCTGGAAATACCAGGTGATTGGCTAACGCCCCACCTGGGCCCGACTCTGGGATGAGCTTCAGTCTCAGATGGAAGCAATGTTCTGGGCACCAAGAAACCAGAGTGGACCCAGAAGCCAGTGCTCCCATCTCGCTCCACCTCTCACCTCCCCGTCCCAATGACGACAGCATGCTCAAACCTCCCCAGCCAGTCAGCTCAGGCATGCTTTCCTAGTGTCTGAGAATGTGCTCAGAGGGCAGAGCCCAGGACATGATTACATGAGCAGCACTTTCATCACAACAGGCTTCTTCTGGCAAAGGCTGGATGTCCCTGACACAGGCTGAGTCGAGGCAGAGGAGGGGAGCAACCCCTCAATACCTTGTCCATGCGCTTATATCTCAGCGGCTTCACGCTGAGGGCCTCGCTGCTCCATGTGCCAGGTGGGATCCAGTACTCAGCCTCCACCCAGTCGCCTTTGCAGGGCTGGAAACCTAGGGCAATGGGAAGAAAGGGTCACCCTCAGTGTTGTCCACTGACAGGGACCCACTAAGATCATCTCTTAGACAACAGGAGGAGGGTTATCCTCGGTCCTACCCAGAGAATGACCCAATGAGACCGTCTCTTAGATGGCAGAAGGGCTACTATCCGTCATATCCACTAAGATCATCTCACAGAGGTTTGAAAGAAGGCTGCTCTTGCTCCTGCCCAGCAGAGATGGACACAGCGAGATGACGTGTCACATCAGGGGGCACATGAGCTCTCCTAGCAGCAGCATTTCTACCATCAGTCAAATGGAGAGTCCTAGGTTACACACACCTACGTCAATAAAGCTGCCTCCCAGTGCCGTGGATGAACAAGGGGCTGCAGAACACCTGTGGCTCAGGAAAGAGCTGGGTTATTGGTCCTGATCCCAAGTCGTCATGCAGAGGGTGGAGTGGAGGAGCTCCTGGTCCTGCCATGGCGTGGACCTCACCTTGAACAAGTCGTCCACCTCTCAACACGTATCCATCCATGCCTTCACTCTAGAGAGCCATCTAAACGACAGTGCCATGTCACCCAGGAAGCAGCTACACCACAGAGGAGGGCAGGCCCCCGACCTGGCATGTCAGTGGCAAATGCATTCCCAGGTCCCGTCACAGTGGCCACCATCACAGTGACGGTCGTGTGGCACATGGTGCAGCTGCTGGTGATGCATGAACCCTCGTGACCCTTCCCGAGGCTGGGAGTCCTTTCTGCTCTCCCCTTCAGCGTGCCATCCAGGCACAGGCCCTACAAGCTGCCAGGTGGTGGTCCAGGCTGCCTGCTTCAGTCTCAGACCTACAATCATGAAGGCTGGACACGTTCATGGACACCTACAGGCACACCCTAGAGCACACATGTCTGAAGCTGGACTCCCCCAGCTTGTTCCTCAAATCAGTGGCTCCTCACACCCTGTCTCAACTTCAGGAAAATGTCTAAGAAAGCACTCACTCCTCAGAACAATTAACCATGTAAGAGCGAAAGAGCAGGACTTGCCCAGGGGTAAAGAGTAGACAGAAAAGTATAAAACAGAAGGGTGACTAGAAATCTAGAAATGAGAGTCACAGACAGGAGACGGGAAGAGCACTGCACAGTGCGGGAACTGCGATCAATGTCAAGAATAAAACACCTAACAATGAAGGGAAGCTGCAATAAAATAAGCAAATCATCTCCTCTGCACTTCCAGCTTCTAGACAAGTGTGAGGCGGGAGCTCTCTGCTCCTTCCCAGCTCCCCAGACACAATGGCCCACACTCCTTGCAAACACACACAGAGTACTTGGAGACAGACGCTCTCACACCCAGCCCAACTGGGTGGCAGGGAACAGGGGACTCTCAGCATCTTGCTGTGCCAGGTAAGTGTGCCCGCAGCTTGAGGGGCACTAAATGGCTGGCCATCCTGACAGCAGGCAGCCAGGAAACTGACAGGCAGGATGGCCTTAACAGGCTTGCTTGGGTACTCGTTTTTACAGGCAACACTTTAGGCATCACTAAGTTATAAAAACCAAAGTGAGTAACTGAACAGTGACATTACTGACAAACAGCAGATGCCCCTCACCTCTCGTCTTGGGGTCCCGGGGACACATGCTGGACACTGACCCCAGTGCCAGCTGACACACAGCTCCGAAACACTCAACTTTCCATTCAGAGTCAGTTTAACGCCATCATATTACTCATTTTTGCCCCAAATTTCCTTGGACATATAAGAAGAGGAAAGTAACAAGTACTAATGTATTAGTTCTGGAAACAGCTGGACACATTCCAACACAGCTTGAGTTTTCTTCCTCGAATCACAGACTCAGAGACTCTGGAAACCCACTGTCCTGGCAGGCAGCACTGTGACATCACCGGGGAGGCCTCTGCAGGCTCACTCAGTCAAGCTCCACACTGGCCAAGGGCTTCTGTACTCCAGCGCCCCGGCCGAGGACTGCCCTCAGGAGAGAGCCGGGTCCCTGGCCAGAAACAGCCCCCAGAGCAGCTCTCATCACACAGAATGTGCTCAGATCTCACCTTTTAAACCATGTGCCAGCCTCCCCACAGCTCAGCCAGGACGACTTTCAAAACGACGACGAGAGTGCTAATCTTGAAGGAGGCTCACCTTCACACACCCTCTCCATGGAGAAGTACGTGGTCTGGTTGATGTAGCCAGCACCGGCTGTCATCGAGGTCACACAGCCAATCAAAAGGCGGGTCCTGGAGTCGGCCAGCCCTTTGCTGCTCTTCTTGCCATCATCCTCCCACTTGTCAGAGACTGCTTCCACCTGGAAAACACAGCCACCACTAACAGCAGCTAGAAGAGCCTGCAGAGAGGCCGCATGCCGCTGGGAGGTGACAGCTTCAACTTCCCCAAAAAGCCCTATAGTGCTGGGTATCGTCCGAGTTCTGTGCAGCCCCTGCAACAAACCTAACGTAGCAGAAGAGCAGTGAGTGCTGAGGGCCAGCTGGTACCAGGCTTGGCAGAGAGATGACTGGGGCATGAGCACACGTCGGACCTCAGAGGACGCAACCCTGCCCGACTGATGCTGATGGGAACACTGCTTCTCCTCCTGAAGTTAGGGGCACGGATGAGCCCCACCAGCGGTCTGCATATGTTCTGTCTTACAAAGTCCACAGCTAAGGGTTTACATTGGTGGCACAGACTGTAGGGAGCTGTACCACTGAAAGGCCATGCTTCTCTGGTTGTTCAAATCCACCAGTGGCCCCACGGGAGAAAGATGGCAAGTCTTCCTGCCTTGGGAAACCCAACGGAGGCTCAGCTGAGCGAGCGAAGGACTTACTACAAAAACACTATTTTTACATGAGAAAAGAAGTTGTCCTTCATTATCTTTGCAATTCAGATTTACACAATTATCCAATCATTATTTTTAATTATAATTAAGTTTATTAAACAAAATATATATTAATTGAATGAAAGTAAATAAAAATATTAGAAAAATATTTTAGTTATGTTTACAAAACATTTTTTCTACTAAAAATGAACTAGCATTATTAAAATGCATGAAATCTTGAAATATGTCAAGAAGTGAGTGCATGCTGTTAGAAAAACAGCTCACAGACTTCTTCCACGCAGTACTGCCTACACATTTTCAAATTGTAAAAATCATTATATTTAGCAGTAATTACTTTTAAAAAAGCCTAGGATATGTAAGACTCTCAATAGTGTTCTTTTCCACAGTATAAAATTATGACCCAAGTTCACTTTCTGAATGACCAATGTCTAATCAATACATATATGTATAGAAATATATTTACAAATAGATTTCTACATCCTGAACTACTTATTTTTTAAATGACACTGTAAGTGCTATTGATGTCGTCAAACATCATTATACGGACAAGCTCCCAAGTACTTCCAGCCAGAGGCACACTTCAGTTCACTGCATGGCCCTCTACCGGTCGGCTGAGAGGTGAAATGGACATGCTGAAAAGATAAAGCCCAAGGTGAAGAGAGCCTGTCCCCAAACGTGCAGGCTTACCCTGACGGCTTTCAGTCCACTGGACACTTTATCCTCTTCCACAACTGCAATAACTTCCTGCCCAACATTCAGGAGCACCCTGCTGGTGACAGCATCACTGGAGAAGTAGATCAAATCATCAATCATGCCGTAGTCGCCGCAGTACCGTGTTACAACACCCTGTACCGTTTTCAGCTTGATGTCACCTGCCAGGGCACAGAAGAAGTGAACCCACACTTTAATTAGGCCTTGCCAGCATGAGCAGAGTAGAATGCTTGAGCACCGTTTGACCCAGGGGCTCATAGACTGATCTGAGACTCGGAGCACAGTGGAGTGGAGAGAAGGTCCTTCCAGGGCGGGGTAGGCTGGGGAGCAGGCAGGAGGGTGCATCCAGGGAGCCTGACCTTGCCTGTGCAAAGCTCCTGGCCACTCTCAGTCAGCTGTCAAGTGCAGGCAGTGAAGCACCTTCTGAAGAGGAAGAAGAGCTGTCTGAAGGTCAGGTGGCAGAATACATGCGCACGGGGAGCTCTGTCAGTGTGAGGGAGGGGCTGTCAGCGTCACATCAGCACCCAGGGAACTGTTCAGGTCTACCTTCACCACGCTCTCGTCCTCAACAGGAGCAGCTGCCGGCTGGGAAGGTCTGTGGCCCCTCGCACCAAAAACACTGAGGGTTCAGGAAGCCTGGCACTCACCCCCTCCTTACCTGTCCCTGATCTGCTTCCACGTTCCCACTGCTAGAGAACCAGGGCTCTGGCCAGTTTTCTCACGCCCTTTCCTACTGTGTCTCCAACACAAGTTATAACCCGGGTTCCCACCTATGCTAGTCACGCGATCTAGTGGTGCCCAGCGCTAGAGGGCACACCACTGGTGAAGTGTGTACTTGAAGGTCAAGGCTAGAGCCAGCTACAGTGACACTGCCAGATCCAGAAACCCCAACCCTGCCTGGAATCAATGAGAATTTGAAATTCTGTTCTACATTTCTGAGCTTTTCTTCAGTATTCTCAAGTATCTTTGCTCAAAATGTGTACTGATGGTGGCTGTGGGCATCTGATAGAAAAGTTAAGAGGAAGGAGCGAGAAGGTGACGTTTTGAGGCACCATTATGGCCAATTTGCTAGGAATGTTCTATTTTTTAGGATAAGATCACTTGGCTCTTGGAAGACAGTAGGGAAACAGAAGTAAAGAAGGAGAAACTATAGTCTTATAGTCATTCACACAGAGCCCCTCCCCCCATAGTCATTCACAGAGGCCCCTCCCCCATAGTCATTCACAGAGCCCCTCCCCCATAGTCATTCACACAGAGCCCCTCCCTCCTGAAGAGCTATTCAGTTCATGCCATGAGCATCACACATAAGCCCCAAAAGCCCATCGCCATGGAGCCAGTTCTGACTCCCAGGGATGCTGGAGGACACAGCAGAGCTGCCCCACGGTGCTTCCAAGGGCTAGAGCCTTTACATAAGCTGACTCCACCTCTTTCTCCAAAAGCTAGCCACAGATGAGCTTTAACATGCTGCCTTCAACAAGAAACACTGTTCCTGATGCTTCAGGCTTCCCTCATGGAGAATTTAATCTTTGAGGTCAACTAAGATACACCTCCAATGAATCTAATTCTCATGAGAGTGGACATCTGAGAGGAAAGGCCAGCAACCTTAGAGTAAACCATCAGGTGATGCTGAGATCTGAAACCAACATGCCTGACCAGCATACTGGGTGCAGGGTGGGGTGCTGGGGTCAAGGAGTCTGAAAACAGCACCTGAGAGTCTTAATGGGCAGCTCATGCGAGCTGCAACAATGTTCTCCAAGCTGGTCAAGCAACTGCAAACAATACTGAAGGAAGAAAAAGACAAGCCATGTAGAGACACCATGAAAAGTTGTCTACCACGTAAGAACACAAAGGGACTAAGGAAGAATGACTAAGTGATGGCACAGACTCAAATGTAAGGCACCTCAGAGTAAATCTAAAACTAGAAAGGGCATCAAAGGAAAAGCAAAAAAACAGGGCATGCTTGGTAACCTTCAATTACAGCTTATGTAGAAAATCAAATAAAAGGGGGAAATTAGATTATTTGGGCCACCTAAAAATTAAATCTTTATATAATACAAAGAATTCTCCAAAAGAGCAAAAAAAAGATGTAAGGTTGAAAAAAAAATTTAAATAACACACCTGATAAGGGACTCATCACTAAAATTTATAGACAAATCCAGCACTTTCACAAGAAATAGACAGGTCGAGTGGCAGTCAGCCGGCTGGTGCGGGCAGCTCTAGGACCCTGCGGGGGACACTGCAGCCAGAGCCCGGGAGGGGCCGAGCTGCCGCCACCGTCTCAACTAGGATGTCCCAACACGAAGGTGTCAGCTGTGATGCATGTTTAAAAGGAAGTTTTCGAGGACGTAGATTTAAGTGTTGATTTTGCTATGATTACAATCTTCGTGCATCTTGTTATGAAAGTGGTGCAACAAGAAGGCATACAACCGACCACCCAATGCAGTGCGTATTAACCAGGGTAGATTCTGATTTCTACTATGGCGGGGAAGCTTTCTCTGTGGAACAGCCACAGTCTTTGACTTGTCCCTATTGTGGAAAAATGGGCTACACGGAAACACCACTTCAAGAACATGTGACTTCTCAACACGCAGAAACATCAACAGAAGTGATGTGCCCAATTTGTGCACCATTACATGGAGACAATCCTAATCATGTCACTGATGACTTTGCAGCTCATCTCACACTTGAACACAGAGCCCCTGGAGATGTAGATTAACCGAGTGGTGTTCGACATGTACGTCGAATGTTCCACCCTGGCTGGGATTAGGAGGCCCTTGTGTGCGTAGATCAAACATGCACGTTACTAGCAGTTCCACTGGTGGACTTGCTTCTCAGAGTTCATAATATTCTCCAAGCAATGGGGAAGCCATGGATCCTAGAGCTGAGCTTTCATCTCAGTGATCAGGAGTGAGATGCTCTGCAGGAGGCAGCGTAGCTCTTCTGGCCCTTCCGCTTCTCAGTTACAACTGCAAACGCAGCTGCAGCTGAACGGCAGCATGCACAGGCAGTGCGGCAACAACTGGAGACAGCACGCAACTCAACCCGGCGCACTACAGTCACACAGTCCACCACCACAGCCACCACGGCCAGCACAGAAAACAGCAGAGCATCCAGAATCCCCAGTTTCTCTTAACAATGCTGAATGATCCTAAGATGCGGAACGCGAGCGAGCAGACCACAGCCTATTTGTGCAAAGAGCTGCGTGTGTCGACCTTAGTGCATGAAGAGAGCTCATCCTCAGACGAGGACAAATGGGGGGATGGCAGATTTTGGTGCTATGGGCTGTGCAGATATTATGCCTTTAGATGTTGCTTTAGAAAAGCTAAATTTAAAAGACAGTAATAAAGGAAAGGAGCCTCCACCTCTTTGATGACATCCCAATTCACAGACAATGTCCTCTGTGCTGTATTTGCTAATGAAAGGGGACAACAACTCTCTTAGGTTTTTTTGGTGATTGTAATTTCAGCTTTGTCACTCTTGTTACATTGTGTACATTCAAAAGGAAGAGAGAAAAATACATATGATAATCATTTCCACTAACTAATTTTTACTTCTAGCAGGTAAATGTAGGTAGCAGTGCAGGGTGAACGCTGCTTCCTGTACCTTCACATGTAAAAGGCTCTCCTAATACTCCACATTCAACCTGAAGAGGAAAATTGAAATCTCTACTGAAGCTACTGTGTGTATTTATGAATATTAATGAATAAAAATTGCTTGGATGGTTTACCTTAAAAAAAAAGAAAAGAAATAGACAAATAACGCAATAATAAAAAGGGCAAAGGACATGGACAGGAATCTACCCTAACAAGATATTCAGATGCTCAACTAACATGCAGAAATGCTCAAGATCATTAGCTATCAGAGAGATGTAAATAAAAACCATGGGGTATTACCTTACTCCAGCAAAAATAGCAATGTCCAGTAAGACAATGAACAATAAACACTGGCATGCATGTGGAGAGACTGGAACTCTATAGTCTGGTGGTAAAAATGTAAAATGGTGCAACCACTAAGGAAAGTAGTTTGGTGGTACTTATTTAGAAAGCTGGGAATAGCATTATCAATTGATCTAGAGTTATGACATGAACAGATATGGCAGTCTAGTGATAAGGAGCTGAACAGTTTACCCAAACTCATACAGTTCAAGTCCAACAGCTGTTCTACAAAAGAAAGACATGCAATCTCCCATGTGATTTAGAGCCTCTGAAAACTCATCTAAGAGTGACTTCAACTTGATGGTATATAGAGCAACATTTATAAGAGCAAAGAGCTGGAAACAACGCCAGTGTCCATACTAAGAAACAGCTGTACATTCACACAGTGGGGTATTATGCATCACTGCAAAATGACCCCAAATTAATGAAACATTGCACAACACAGACAAAATTAGAACAAACTGTGCTGCGTGACATTGTTGATCACAAAAAGACAATTATTGTATAAGATCACTAACATTAAAAAAGTAAAACCAAGTGGTGGCGGCGAGAGGATGAACAAGTTCGATGCCTTGAAAGATGATGACAGTGGCGACCATGATCAGAATGAAGAAAACAGCACACAGAAAGATGGTGAGAAGGAAAACAGAATGTGACAAGGGTCAGAGCAGCAGCAAGAGAAAGGCTGTTGTCCCCGGGCCAGTAGAGCATTCCCTGCAATACAACTATACCTTCTAGTATTCCAGGAGGACCCCTGGCCAGCCCACCAGCTCACAAAGCTACGAGCAGAACCTCAAGCAGATTGGCACCTTGGCCTCTGTGGAGCAGTTCTGGAGGTTCTACAACCACATGGTACGTCCTGGGGACCTGACAGGTCACAGTGACTTCCATCTCTTCAAAGAAGAAATTAGGCCCATGTGGGAGGATGATGCAAATAAAAATGGGGACAAATGGATTATCTGACTACAGAAGGGCTTGGCCTCCCATTGCTGGGAGAACCTCATCTTGGCCACATGATTGGAGGGATCTGCAGGGCTGTGGTCTCTGTCCAGTTTCAGGAGGACACTATCTCAGTATGGAACAAGACTGCCAGTGACCAAGCAACCACAGCCCGAATTCAGGACACACTTTGGCGAGTGCTTAACCTACCTTCCAACACCATTATGGAATACAAAAGCCACACTGACAGCATCAAAATGCCAGGCAGGCTAGGACCCCAAAGGCTCCTTTTTCAAAACCTCTGGAAGAGGGGGTGAATGTGCGTGACCTTGTCCCTTTCTGGATGGCACCATCACTGAAGCTGGCACCACTGGTGTCTCTTGTCTTGTTGGCGTGCTACCTGGAAGAGCCTTCTGTCAGGACAAGAGGAGCTGGAAGAGCATTTGATGTTTTAAGAACAGGCTGACACGCAGCAGCTACAACCACTGCTTAGATCTCTTAATAAATGGTGCTAAACTGGGGGGGGGGGAGACACACAGCCTGATGGCCTAGTGGCAAGAAGCTGCGCTGCAACCCCAAAGGAGCGTGGTTTGAATCTACCAGATGCTCCGCTGGAGGAGGGGCAATCTCCTTCTGTGCCAGTCAGATCTGATTCGACGATACACAACAATAACAAGCAAACAAAAGTAAGAAACAGCTTACACTTGGAAAAAAATCTTAGAAGGTTAACAGAGATGAGAAGCAAGAGAGGGAAACAAAAGTAATAATAAAAATAATGAAAAACTTTGTACAAAGTAAATAAAAAGTCAATAGATACTGATGAGTTGTGATGTTGGAGGAGTACTACCCAATCCATGCCAAAAGAATCAACAGGTCTGCCTTGGTGAAGTGCAGCCAGAGAGCTCTTTCGAAGCAAGGATGGTGAAGCTTCATCTCACATACTTTGGGCATGTTGTGTCAGTAGGTACAACTCTTAGTGAGTGAACAATCTGAACCTTATCTTACCTGATGCCATCTCCATCACCTGACCCACATGAGTCCACTACTGCAGTCACTGTGTCAATCCACTTTGTTGACGGTCTTCCTCTTCTTCACTAACTCTCTACCTGTCTTGATCTTGCATGAACTTGTTTCTTGCTCAAAGCATGTAAGGCGAAGCTTTGCCCTTCTTGCCTCCCAGAAGCACTCTGGATGTACTTTTTCTAAGACAGAATGATTGTTCTTTTGGCAGTTGATGGGATATTCAGTGCTCTTCTCCAACACCACAACTCAAGCACATCAGTAATTCTTCTGTCATGGCAATTCAATGCCCAGCTCTTAGATGCACAGCAAGTGACTGAAACAATCAGGGCCTAAATCAGACACCCTTTAATCTTCAAACTGACATAATTTCTCCTCAGTAACTTGGAGAGGCCTTTGACAATGGACTTTCACAATACAATATGTCCCTTGATC